AGAGATGATATCATCATTTTAAATATTTTGTCTTCATTTTGAATCACAACTTGTCTCTTTTCTTCTTATGAATTATTTTATACTATTCAAATAAAGGATTTAAAATACAGACTTTAAATGTAAAATTTAAATTTAAGATTTTAAATCTAAATTCAAATAAATCCATTCATTCAAACACCAACTTCCATAATTCGCATAAAATAATTTGAAACACAAGCCTATAATATTACAAAGATAACTACATAACTTTTGGCCAAAAAAAAAATTAACTGTTTATTTGGTTCTTAATAATTAATATGTTCTTTTCCAGCAACAATTTCATTGTTAATATGTTATTAATATTGTGGCAACGAGGAGCATCTTTAGGTGGGTGTCCTTCTTCTATCAAACATCGATTGACTGGTGCTCTGTTGGCAAGTATCCTCCCCTCCAGTGAAGCTTAAATAAAAGAAAAAGAATTTAAATATTATTTGGCTTAATTTTGTACAGTAGCTAAAATAAATAAGGATGACACACATACATATATACATCAAGGTCAATATATATATATATATATATTATCAATCTGCTTTAAAAATCCAATCAATATTAACTTACCATTCCACCCAAACAGTGTAGAGAAACTGGGTTATGTGAATGCATGTCAAATCTAAGCATCGTCTCTGGGCCTATTTTACTTACTCCTCCCTCTGAACTACAATGTAACTCGTTTTCTAAAAATTTAATTGGCCCAAAATATAGGATATTTGATAGGTGTTATTATTATATATATATATATATTCAATTACACCGTTACTTTATTGAGTAATTAATGAGGGTATTTTGAATAAGTCAAATATTATATTATTTATTACACTCAAGGGTACAATTGAAAAAATGTAAAAAAATTTAGAAAACTAAGATTTTAACCAACTTTGTTTAGAAAACGTAAATTAATTAATAATGACTTATATTAAGTTTGGAGGGAGTACTCACTAACTTATTAATATATATAATATAATATATATCATGTAAGTATGTAGATCTACACATTATATGCATATAATGTGATTATCTGACCCTTTTGAGCACGTCGCTTTGATCATTTATATAAGACCATCCCTTTTTTGTATTTGTCTAACATTTTTCTTCATCAAAATACCATTAATTAATTCAGGATTTTAAATTTACTAAAAATTAATTAGTTAAGATATCCAATTAAGTGCTAGGGAATTAAGTAGGGATAAATAATTGTGGAAAAATAGCACAGAATATTGACACATTTATTGCTAAAATATAATTGGCTGATTTTGTAAATTCTTGTGAATCGGTTAGAAGGTTTTATATATATTGGAGGGGGTGACAAAGTGTTTATAGTTTAAATAATTAACTCATTTCTTTTTCCAGAAAAAATTAATTAGTTTACTATATTATTGAATTTCCATACACTTATCAAGTTATTAATTATTAGGACTAAAGAATATTTTTAAAAGATACAAAGAGAAATAAACTTCAAATATCACATGATCGAACAACTAAACGAAACCAAATTATCAAAAAATATATATATATAATAAAATCAAGGAAGAATGACACTCAGATCCCTTATAAGAAATAATCAACATTTTGTTCCCTTCCTGAAATTTTTTTAATAAGTGGTATATACTATATCATTGTTGTCAATTTAATTCAAGCGACCAAAATGTGAATGATATTTTTACAAATGACCTAAATATCATTTTTTCTAAATATTGCAACCTGTATAATTTATAAGTTATAAATAGTATATTATTCCCCAAATTTTATGTAATTTACAATAAAATTAAACTTGAATGTTAGGTTGTCTAAATATGAGTAGACTTAAATCAATGTGGAAACTGGACAAAGTAAGGCTTAATAACTAAAATGTAATAAAGGAGAAAGATCCATAAATTCGAGCAATGATCTTTTAGTTAAGATATAGTGTTCTTTCAATACTCTTTATCCCTTTGTTTTCTCCCACCATTTATGGGCAGTCACTCTCCATTTTTAACAAATGATATTAGAGTTAGGATTAGATTCTAAGACTTATGGGTTATAGGCTCACTATGCTTCTAGCTTAGGTCCACTTAGACTTAAATAGCCTAACAATTTCTTCCTCAATTGTGAGATTTGGGAAGCTTGTGGACTCACACTTATGCTTCTAGCTTTAAGTCCACTCAACTAATGAATATCAAAATAATATTTAATGAATACAAAATAATATTAAATTTCAATAGAATATAAATAATAGACAACAAAAATCTCAACACAATATCGTAACAAGAATAAACTCCCGCCTGTCCTATTTGGTATATTTATTTAATGGGACAACATATCCTAAGATCGAACATGAGATTATAGAATAAATTAATTCAACTCTCTCAACAGTTAAACTAAACACCCCTCTATAAAACTTTATTTAAAATTTAATAAGTTTTCAATTTTATTCTTATTAAAGATACATATTTTAATAATATATTTTTTCACCAATATTTAATGGAGGATAAAAGAAAAAACTTGAAATAAAAATTTCATGACATGACTTAAAAATAAGAACAAACAATACTATCTTTCTCTCGCTGACACATAAATAAGAAGAATATACAGTTCATCATTTCCCAAACAGATCATATCCATTACACAACACACACTTAAAATAATCTAAAAACTAGTATAACAAGTAACATATTTATAAGTCATAAAATGCGTGACTTAATTATTTATTAGATTTTGTGTAATATAGATTTACACTATAGTTGAGATTTGAGATTAGTAATGGTGGCAACAGGGTACATCTGACGTTGGCATGCCATCTTTCAAACATCGATTGCATAAATGAAGAAAAACGAAGGCCAGATCGTAGAGATATATATATATATATATATATATATAAAACAAAGCATCACTTACATAAATGAAGATCCGAAGCATTCCCAAGCTTTCTGGGCAACGCTTCAGCAGAAAGCAACGCAAAAAGAAAGAGAACCACCAAACAAGAGGCTGCGTCTTGGAAGCCATTAGTTAGGTTTGATGCCTATTTCACAGTACTCATATATGATTCTTTCAATTTATAAATACAAGCGGGCGGCTAGTAGGATTGGACTTTCAGGCATTTATAATATTTATTTAATAATAGATGCTTTAATTAGTCAGAAAGTGTGGATTGATTCTTTGAGTTTGATTCAAATTGGAAATGTCATTCCAGTCTTCTTTGAGTTATCATTATTTAATTTGACTGATTGTTCCTACTTGCCCTGAATTTTATTTAAATATATGTGGTTTATTTTCAAAGCACATGTACTATTAAAACGATCCTTCACTAGTAATGGAAATTAGTCTGCCTTCAGGTTTGGAGGGTTAAAAATAGACACCTCTCAACTTATTTGTTCTATATACAAAAATTTGAATAATTAGAAAAAAATCATGAGTGTTGTGTTTTTCTATGTGATTGTAAATGGACTCATTTATAATCTACATATATATATATACACTTTATACTTATAATATAAAATCCGTAATCTTTAATAAGCTACAGTCTTCATCAAATCATTATCAACGCATTTCAATTTTTTTAAAACTCCGTTTAATGCAAGGTCACATAATAGTTAAAATAGGGAAGAAAAAGGAGAGAGACCAAACTGGATAGAACATATCAATGGTTTTTTTATTTTCTCTGATTAAGCATGGAAGATTTTTCGTGAATGTTAAAGATTTCGTGCGTATAATTTCAAAGATAATGAGAAATAAATTTGTTTTGACAAGTCAATGAGTTCATATCATCCGAAACTATAATGTGAATAAAAAACTTCGGGTTTCATCCACTTTCCATGTTGAATGACTTACAAAATTAAAACAATATCTTTTTTATTGAGAATTAACATCTTAGTTCTGTTTTAAAA